TAGCTGGTCCCTTAAACTGCATTCCCATCATTCCCGTAGCTAACACTGTTAATGAGTTGTGTGCGTACTCAGCCCATGGGAGTGTTGAAGGGAAACCAGACATCGCAATGTATGTTCGCGATCTTGGTTGGCTCTTTCTTTTTGCCCATTACTCTGTGGATGAAATCCAGAAGAAAGACTAACAGTGGCCTCTAATGAACGGCAGAACTCTCTACAAAATCTAGAGACAAACTGAGGCCTCCTGTCAGGAACCACATCCCTCTGGAGGCCATGAATACGAAAGATGTGATTAATGACAGCAACCACTGTCTCTCTGGCTAAGGGATAAAATGAGTAGCCTTGGACTGGTCCACAGCATTCAGAACCTATGTGTTGCCACACAATGGCGAGAGACCTGTGACAAAATCTAGCGAGATGTGAGACAAGGGTCAAGAGGGTACAGTCAGCGGCTAAAGAAACCCGGCATTAGGGAGATTGGAAGTCTTAGAAACAGCACAAACAGAGCAAGCCAAAACAAATTCACGCACACTATGAGCCATAGCTGGCCACCAGATTTGCTGTTTAACAAGAAATAAGGTATGACTCACCCCGGGATGACAAGCCACTTTGGAAGAGTGTCTCCATCGAATGACGTAAGACCAAATCTGCTCTGGCTCAAACAACCGATTCGGTGGGCCTCCAGGCAGAGCCATTACCCCTTCTAAGACTGTGCGAACCTTCGACTCTATCTCTAATGATCTGGCAGAAATACAAATGTTCTGTGGAACAATGGGCTTAAGAAATGATATGTGTTCGGAAGCGTCAAAAATACAAGATAACGCATCGGGTTTTATGTTTTTGGACCCCGGTCGATAAGAAATGATAAATTCGAAATGTCTGAAAAGTAAAGCCCATGAGCCTGCCTAGAACTCAATTGTTTAGCGGACTTGATGAATTCAAGATTTTTATGGTTGGTCCAAACAATAAAACAAAACCCCAAACTTTCTAACCAATGACGTGACTCTTCCAACGTGAGTTTGACAGCCAGCAATTATATAAACGGTGAGAGAAAAACACTCAGGGATGCATTTTGCCATTCGAGGAAGAACGCTGGGACAGGATAGCTCTGACCCCCACCTTTGATGCATCAACCTTTACCACAAACTGCTGAGAGGGATCAGGGGCGACAAGAATTGGGGCTAAAACAAAGCTACCCTTCAGTTTCGTGCATGCAGCTTGAGCTATGCTAGACCGCCCGAACGTTTTTGAGGAGGTTAAGACAGGCACGGGGAGCTGGATGAAGTTGCAAATAAAACACTGGTAAAAACTGCCAAAGCCCAAAAACCTCTGCAGATCCTTGCGGGTGTCTGGAGTTGGCCAATTCACCACAGCCTGAATCTTCTCTGGATCGATGCACATCCCCTTGACCGACACAATGTGCTCAAAGAAAGGAACAGACTGTGCATGAAAAACTAATTTCTCCACCTTGACATAAAGCCTATTCTCTAACAGCCTCTGAAGCACTCGCCTGACGTGTTTTACATGTTCTTGGAGAGAACGGGAAAATATCAGTATGTCATCCAGGTAGACATAGATAAACTGGTCTATCATATCTCTCAACACATCATTGACGAGTGCCTGGAATTGTATATGGAAGAAATCAAATCAAGAGGTTTTTCATCTGGCCTGGAAAGAAAGTACACTTAAGTTTAGAAAAGCTTTAAAGTCTCACAGATCTGCTTATTTTTCAAAATTAATAGAAGTAAATAAACACAACCCTAGGGTTATGTTCAACACAGTAGCCAATCTAGCTAGAAATCAAGCATCAACATGCATTTCTCAACATAGCAGTAATGACTTTATGAACTTTTTCACATGCAAGATTGATTGATCAATTGTTTTCAAAAGTTTTCTTAACTAAAAAGTGTTAACGTTTTGAATTCATCCCGTCTTTTTGTATACGTTCCTAAAACTTTTAAATTAGGTATCATTTAAGCCTCAAAAAACAAAGCTTGATCCCAAAAAAACTAGTAAATTATAGACTCTTTACAAACCTGCCTTTTATATCAAAGATAATAGAAAAAGTCATATCTGCTCAACTATGCTCCTTCCTACAAAGAAACAATATTTCTGGAAAAGCTCAATCTGGACTGAGAGCATTTCATAGCACAGAAACAGCACTCCTAAGAGTTACAAATGACCTCCTCCTGTTGTCCGATCGTGGTTGCATTTCTCTTATAGTGTTATTGGACCTCAGTTCTGCATTTGATACAGCCGATCATAATATTCTCCTTGATAGGATTGAAAATTATGTTGGTATTACAGGAACTGCATTGGCCTGGTTAAGGACCTATCTATCTGAACATTATCAATTGTATCAGTTAATAAAGTGGCATCATACAGATCAAAAGTACACTGTGAGGTACCACAAGGCTCAGTTCTTAGTCCCCTACTGTTCACACTATATATGCTACCGCTATGTGATATCATTAAGAAACATGGAGTTAGCTTCTAATGTTATGCTAATGATACACAACTTTATATCTCCTCTCAACCTGATAACTTGTATGAATTTACAAAATTAACAGATTGTATAGCTGATATAAAAAAATTCATGATGCAGATTCAGATGAATTTAGATAAAACTGAGGTCTTGACCCAAAAACCTCACATGCAAAAACCTAGAACAGTTTAAACCTTGACGGATTTTTAGTTCAGTCCTCAACTTCAGTCAAAAACTCGGGGGTGATTTTTGATAGCAACCTGTCATTTGAAGGCCAGATTTCACTTATCTGTAAAACTGCATTTTATCATCCAAAAAATGTTGCCAAACTTTCACATATGCTATCAATGTCTGATGCGGAAAAGCTTATGCATGCTTTCATGACCTCTTGAAAAGATTATTGTAATGCGTTACTTGGTGGTTGCTCTGCTGGCTTGATTAACAAACTTCAGCTAGTTCAAAATACAGCTGCTAGATTGCTTTCTAGAACAAAGAAATATGATCATATTACTCCAGTTCTTTCATCATTGCATTGGCTCCCTATTAAATATCATATAAATTAAAACATTTTATTGACATTATATCTTTCTCCTATCTGTTACCTAAACTCTGGAACAGTCTTCCTAGCACAGTTCTGGAAGCAGACACACTCTATCGGCTTAAAACTAGATTAAAGACACATCTCTTTGCATTAGCATACACAAAAAAACAAATGCTATTGAAATCCAAAACCTCTAAAGGATTGTTAGTCTGCAGTAATTATCAGAACTGGAACCGGGAACACTTCTCTAAACACTTCCCTTTGGACGGCATCTGCGCTTATGTTGGTCTTTTTTTATTATTCCCAAGATGAGACTGATCCTTGTCAGACCCCAGTGACAGACGAGTCCTTGCATTGATCATTAAGGGACAGCCTGTAAACCAGCTAATGACCTCTCCTACCTGCAGCTTCTTTACAATGGACGTCCAGCACCTACACTGGAACTATGCACAAGACGTTTGCCCATAGGAGAAATGGTTGTGCCCAACTGAACCTGGTTTCTCTCAAGGTTTTTAAATTCTTCACTTTTGCCAATTGGTAAAGTTTTTTCCTTGCTGCTGTCACCAACATTCAAACGTTGAGTAGTGCTGTTTCATTCCAACCACTAGCCACCACCAGGGCATGAAACTAAAGAATGTACACCACCTTGGAGAGCTCTGTGAGGAATTTAAGTGGTTGCATTTGTAAATAGTTACAAAGATTTATCTGAGGCAAAAAGCTGCTAGAATCAGCCAACTCACCAGAATGTATAAGAATGTGCGACTAACAGAGTCAGGTGTGTATAATAGCTGGGGTAGAACTGAGACCATGGATGCTTTGAGAGTGTATACTAGTTCAGCAAAGGGGTCTAGGGTTGCAGGCGGTTAGGGATCCACGGTGATGTTGTGAGGTTCAGTCTTCTGTCAAATAGTGAAATACAGATATTTATTGGACAAATGCGAATGATTTGCAATGCAGGTACTGATATTAAAAGTATTTTGCTTTTCTTAGTCTTTGCATATGTATAGGGGAATCTTGAGGCACCAAAGAGACTAAGAAATGAGGATGACATTAAACAAGGTAACCATTTGACCATAGGAGATTCTGGAATAAATGGCAATCGCAGAGAGAGTCAAGTGAGTTTAGGGGTGTGACCTGTAGATTGGATTCTGAGTAAGTAAAGGTCAGTTACTTTTATGTATTTTATTTGTTTTAGGCTACAATAGCCCTCTATGGTCTGAGGGTGTTTTAAGGATCTAGTGAAGTTCTGACATGTCCTTACATTTGTGCTTCTCTCAGTTGCATATAAACATATATAGGGGTTGAACGATTAAATTGAAATGCCGGCTTTTAAAGCACAATAATGTATTAGTATGTGTAGGGCTTCCTTGCACATCCAATACAGAATCAATTTGCCTTGGGAATGACAGATACAAGTCCTGCACAGTGGCCAAAAGGATTTTGAGACACTCTTCTTGCAGAGTAGTGGCCAATTCACTGGTCCTTCAACAGACATTAAACATGTATATTGACTGTGGAGCTCCCGAAAAACAGGCAGACATCGGCAGACCTCTTTATGCAGCTGTGAAGACAGAGCAATCCCAGGAGATGCTTGCTAATACCCACAGGAGAGATGGCCATTCAAACCAAGCACAGACCTAGACAGTCTCATCCAGGCTAGCACCTACCTGTGTTGCAACAGGGTTCGTTTGTTTTGATAAGTTATTAACCAAGGCTGAACCTGGACACTGGCATTCCACATGCCACTTTTAACACACAAGACATGGATCATTTGTTCCGAAAGGCATTTTACCAAGGCTGAACCTGGACACGGCTATCCCGCAAGCCACTTTTAACACACAAGACAGGAATCATTTGTCCCGATAGGCATTTAACCAAGGCTGAACCTGGACACAGGCATCCCGCAAGCCACTTTTAACACACAGAGACAGGAATAATGACCAGCCCACCCCAATAAAGACACTGCATAGCAATAAATGTCTGAACACCATATGACCTTTATTGTTTTAGAAAGTTTTTATTTCTTCAGGGAGATTTAGAGTCATCCAGTGGTGGCCGTGCTCCCTGGCTTTTCCCCTTTACAGACTGCTATGGCAGAGTCCTCCTGCTGGTTCCCACTTGGAAAGAGAGACAGTAAGGCCAGTTAGCCAACATCACATGCCCTGCTGTTCACATCCATGCTTTGGCTAGCCAAAGAGGACCTGACTTACCAGGGGTGATCCAGGACTGTCTGCCCTCTTGCACCCCTTTTTTGGGTGGCTTCTTTGCCCGCTGCTTCCTCCTCCTCCTTCTCCACCAAGGCCCTCTGAGAGAGTCTGTGGTGCTCACATGCTTGCAGAGGGCTCAGGAGAAGTGCGTAAAATTGATCTGAGGTTGAAGTGTCATGACACATGAAGTGTGCCACCTTCCGGCAATCCTCTGAAGAAAGCATTCTTTGCCTGCATCAGAGACAAACAGACAAACAGAACCTCTTATGGGTCAAAGCCACTGGCAGTCATGTGGCTCCAGGAGCAATACAAGCATGATCAAGTGTGTTGATCAAGTGTGTTGCGATGGCTGTCCGGATATCAGTGAAGGTCAGTTTGCCTGGAAGCCCCATGCTAGTCCATGCATATTGAAAATATTTTTTCAGGGTCCTGCAGGGGCTGGCTCTGGAGGCAAAAAAAAAAAATAAGTAGGTGGCCTGCCTCCCACCCTGCAGAGCAGCCCACAGGTCCAAGAACCTCTGGAACCAAGAACGAACTATCGAATAGGCACCATTTTTGGGCAGCTTCACTGTGCCAGCCATGTGAGCCTTTGCACGGCTTCTTTCTTTTCACAAAGGAATTATATAATCATCGAACTCCACCATTTGGACAGCTTCACTGGGCCAGAAGTGTGGGACTTTGCACGGCTTTTTGCTGTGGGTTTGCACACCTGACAGGACTGAACCAGACCAGGAAAACAGTCACCCTTACCCTTTTCTGGGTATGTTTTAGAGATCAGCCGGGATTGTGGCAGCCAGAACTTAAGTCTGCGATATCACATGTCATCAAAATCCTGACAACAGATCAGAGATAAATGGGGTCATGCACGTACCTTCAGGCATGAGATGTCCCAACACGTAGGCCGGGAAAGGGGGCCTCCAGTCTGGCATGACTTGGCATTTTAGGCCTGGATCAACAACTCAAACGGTGAGAGTTGTTGCTAGCAAGCCCACCAATTGAGACCCACCATCCTCCAACTGGACCTTTGTCATTCCAGACGCTCGCTAGCATGAGCCACCTTCCCCCAGACTCACTTAACTGCCTCTCCCCCAACCAAAGCTTACCCGGGGATGGGTCACTATTTTGGGGTTTGCCTCACACACATAGGCTTCACGCTTTCTCTCTTATTCACATACATACACACACACACATACACAAAAAGCTCTCTTTCATTCGCGCGCACACACACACACAAACTCACAGCAACAAACAAGCTAAACGCAGCATCAAGCTGTCTTAATCACACACATTCATACACGTGCTCGCTCGCTCAAGGGTCATGAGCGATATTGTTAGACTGCCGGCTCCTGTCCAAAATTAAACCAGTTACCGACCGCTCCCGCGCTTTATTCGGAAATTATTTTTTTTTCACAGAAATCTGGTCAGGTCCTGCAGTACAGCTGCAGGAATGCAGACCTCTACCGCACGCACCAACCATGCATGTCAAAACTAGTTGGAAATCGAACAGTCTCTCTGGGGCAGCACTGTATATCTGAACACCCTGAATGGGGGCGCCTTACATAGCTAAACTAGCAACCAAAACTAGTGGAAAATCGAACACTCTTTCTGGGGCAGTTCTGTATGTCTGAAACCCTGGATGGTGTTCAGACATACAGAAAAAAATACTTTATTTTGTATTTTCTTTTGGATTCAAGGCCATTCTGCAGCTTGATTTTCTTTTTCTGAAACCATTTGAGTTTCCTTCGCTGTGTTTTCAGTGTAGTGTATGTGTGTTTCATGCTGAAATATCCACTCTGGTTTCATCTTCATCATCCTGGTAGTGTAGATGTTGGACTGAAGCAGCTAATATAATTTACAATGACAAAGGCAGAGGGTTGCTGAATAACTACTGAGAAATTTCAGTTGCAGTCTGGGCTTTCACTGCCTTTCTACAGCCCCCTTTCTTTGTGTGTTCAATACTTTTTTCCGGTGTCATTTCATTTTATTACACAACTTAATATGTAAACTAAAAGATATTGTTTTATTTACATATATGAATTTCATTGGTTGTTACCAACATCAACAGCATATAAACAGATATATATATTCAAATATTATTTTAGTTTAATAAACATCTTTAGTAATAGAAAGCTAATATATTGGAAATAAACTACAAAACGTCAACTAAACTTTATATATTGTATTTTTGTTTCTCTTGATTTTTCCTATTTTTATTTAATGTTTTTCCTTAACATATTGTAACGTTGAATAAGACTCAGACAAAGGGTAATATCAACAGAAGGGTGTTTATTGCAGATATGAAAACAGATGAGTAAAGCCAGTGATAGCGTTGCTGATAATAAAATGAGTTCTGATAGAAAGTCTCTTGGGTTATACCATATGGAGAAAAATCTGAGGAATAGGGGTTACCAGGAGCTGGAAGCTGACCAGCATGCAGGGAGGAGTAGAAGAAAACGCACAGAAACACAATTGGGATTGTTGTTGCAAAAACCAAGGTAAGTATTTCTCATGCATAGGAAGAGTCCTTATCTGTTAAGGAGACCAGACAAAGTGCAAGAGGAAACGAGGTGCTTTTATGCCAAAGGTGCTGATTTTGCGATTGTGCTCAGTTCTGCGTGTGCTCAGAAGACAGATGATTGTGATCACTGGTAATGGGATGAGGCTGGTGTTTCCGTGACATAAATTTGGATGTACTGGATTTTTAACCGTAATAGTACATTTTTTGGGGTTAGATTAGTTTCAGTTTTGGCTTTGGTACCTACTGACTAATCTAATATATATATACGTCATAATTCCAGCCCTCTAAACAAAAGATTGTGATAATTTTAATCCCTATACTTGCTTTGGAAAGGAATAAGTGAGTGTAGAAGATCGAAAAGTAATTATGAGATGCAGTGTCAGCATTCTACATACTGGTTTGCACTACATACTGCAACTGTATGTATAAAATAGGAACCATACTAAGGACTATATATTATTTATAGAACTATATAATACTTAGGATATTTGCTTGTGCACAATTTTAGTAGGTAATAAAATGCAGATTAATGATTATGTGATGTAAGGGTAGATGACAGTGTTCTCTTTAAAGGTGCATTGAGTTTGCACTGGGCATCCTCCAAAAAGATAAGCAGCTCAGCTTTCTTTTTCACCTCGTTGTTGATTGTTTTTAGGTCATTCATTCCAACAGTTTTTTTTTTTTTTTCTTCTCCAAAGTCTTTTGCCTACTTACTTTTCTTCTTCTTATTTTTTTTTTTTACATTTAACATGAAAGTAAATGCATGTGGGCAGGCTAGCAGTGATGTGGGCACAGTCGTGCGACAGATGTACTGTAGGGCCAGAGAAAATATGATTAGTTATCAAGGTAATTTAAGGGCAATCATTGATTATTATTTTTACATGTTTCCCAGCCCTAGTATGATGAAGATAATTTATCTTCAACAGGTCAGGTCTAATCCAGAAACTTGGCCATTTATCTACAAAAAATGTTATTTAGTGGGCACCACCATGGATTGATGAGAGTCTACTGTAGAAACACAGTAAGAGGGCAGAGAACTAAGTCATATTACAGTGTCTGATATTGTGTTTGCAATAGAGTTTATTGCTGACTATTAAGAGCTGAGTTATTTGACACAATGCATAAATGTGCTTTCAACACTTCAGTACTCATTGTTGCCTCTTTGAGAATGAGCACAGTAAATTTCCACCCTTTAGGCTCATTTTGAAAACATACAGCTATGTACATTTCTGGAGAGCACCAAATTTGTCTGAGGAGGTGCGTTGTTTGCAGTTTTTTGTTTTAACAGAATTTGGATGTATTGCTTCATTTTATGGGGAGCTTCATAAACACCTGAACTTCTGAAGATTTAGTTATGGTCTTATAGCCCTTTCCTGACTTGTGTGGAGCCACAATGCACAACCACAGGTCCTCACTGAATTCCCTGTCATGACTGTCCACAAACCAACTCCTGAGAGCTTCTGTTTTTTACCTGTTGAGTTAATTAAAATAGCTGTACCCAATTAATAAGGGTAATTAAGATGCTTTCCAACAGCTTGGACTATTTAGAATGATATAGAACTTTGGATTTTTACATAGATTGTGACAGTTGAGTATTGTTTTTCAAAATTATTCCTTTTGTACGCCATCTTAATATCTTTTGAGAGAAGCCTGTGCCATTTATGGTATTAAAAAAATACCAAATACTTTTCTTGAGAGCATTTAATTTGAATAAAATTTTAAGTCTAAAATTCATGACAGCTATTGTTGTACCCACTGATTGGTTACTAATAATAGTCCTAAACATCGTAATAAATCAAATACACGGACAGAGCACACAATGCAGCAATTTTATCAAAATAAGGTATTGCAGAAGCACGTGTGAATAAAAGTGTAAGGTGATGAGCTGTTTCACTGCATGCTGATGACTAACAGTGCTTCCTCGTAAAAGTGAAGATAAATTGTAAATTCCTTCCTCTATTTGGTAAAACTAACAATGGCTGTAATTGAATACGTTCTGCAATTACACTGATGCAAGGTCATTGCATTTTATCCATGGCTATGCCACTCTGAGTTACTGGTTTTAGCTGCTAAATAAATAATATGTTAAACCATATTTAAAGATCTTTAAAATCTTGATTTAAATATTAAGAAAAATAAGATGAAACATAAAAAGTTTAAAGCAACTGTAGGGTGACATGGGTTAGACAACAGATAGTATCAATAATTCATAATAAAGAAGAGCCCATACACAGTTACGTACATGTAGAATTAAATGAGAAATTGTGCACAAACTAATATTAACATAATATTAAGAAACTATAAGGTAAAATAATAACTACAACATACAAAATATATTCGGCAATATGCACCCCTATACATAGTCTTGTTTTATCTCATATTCAAAAAACTAGAATGAACAAAATCCAGTGCTCAGGTCTGATCTATAACCACTAATTATAGTGAAATGGTGTTTTCGAAAAGATTAGAGTCATAAATAATCCCCTATCAATCCCACTTCAGTCATAAAGAACTCTTTTTAATTTCCAGAGCTATTGCTATTTAGTGGAGCAAAAAAATTAGTAGCTTAAAATAGGTACACTCTCAGAAAAAAGGTACACGGTGGTACAAATAATGTTCCTTGAGGAACCGATTTGTACCTTTTTAAAGGTTGTACGTTACATGATACATAAAAGACCTCTTATGATACTGTTCTGTACCTTTTATGGTACAGTTGAAATGAAGGTACACTATTGTTCTCATACAAAAGGTAAATAAGTGTTGGACAACTCCTTTATTACAATATCTATGAAAATAAATATTACTAGAAAGGTGAAGTGATTTTAATAATTTCCATATTAAAATATGAATCATCATTTAAAGGCATATGTTTAACAACTGGTAAAAAAAAAACTATAGGTATTTTAAACTAAACATTTAAGGCGTTTTAATAAACATTTGGTAAGTATTTTCTGATGAATAAATTTTCATTATTGATATCAGCACCTTTTGATGTTTGCTTTCCACTAAGCACATGAGCTGACAAAAGTCTTGCATATACAAAGTGTTCATGCAGACATTTTAGTTTTGTAAAACTCAAATATTGTGCATATCTCATGACACCACTTTTGCATAATTCTATTTCTATTATAAGATTAAGTAAACTTTTAAGTGATTACTAAGATATTGTATGAAAATTTGAGAAAAAAAATTAAAATACATATAAGAATGTATTTCTGTAACATTTTTGTGAAGTGTTGTGAAATGTTTAGCAAAAAATGTATATTTTGATTTATGTGAAAGTATTGTTTATTCTTTATTGTAAATGGTAAAGGTGCATTTACACAAAAAGAAACTTTTTTAAAAACATTCTTTAAAAATGTATTTTATGTTTTATATTAATTGAAAACAAATTGATGCACTTTGGATATTTTGCTAATGCCTTTAAATAGTTCTTAAAGGGACACATTTGACACTGTTATGGTACAAAGAGTCTTGTCACTGTATTGGTACCTTAATGGATCAGATTTGTAACTTTGATAAAGGTACAGTATTGTCTCTACTGGTTTTAAAAACCAAAGTTCCATTTTGGTTTCCCATGGTGCAAATAATGTCCTTAAAGGTACAACTTGCAATGGTACAGATTTGTGTCTTTGTCTTAAGGTAAAATTCTATTCCATAAAAAGGTACTGCCCCAAGACAAGGGTTTTTACCTTCTTTGGTACAATATTGTACGA